AACAGGTCTGGAGAGAGAGAGAAATGTCCTGACCCTTCAGTAGAAATTTAAGGAGATGTTATTTGCCAGGTGATGCTATTGATCTCCGTGCTGTAAAAAGCTTCAGATGCCCAGTACTTCTCTGTTCAAGGGACAGGACGTTTTTCTCCGGGCCTCTTCTACTCAGTGCCCAAGCACTACTTTTATTTAGTGTCTATTTATTAAAACATTTATATCCCATCTGTCCTTGTATTTCAAAGCGGCTTACCATAACAATTTAAAACATTTTCAGTTGAAAAATCCAAAAATAAAATGGCAAACCCCAGATCTCTCTAGGGGGAAAGCGATTTGTGGGGAACTGTGTTGTCAACTCTCCTCCTGGGTCCTCCCAATTATTCTACTCACACACACCCCAATTCCCATAATGCCTCCTTAAAAAGGTAAAGGTTCCCTTGCTCGAAAGCCAGTCGAATCCGACTCTAGGGTTGCGGTGCTCATCTCCGTTTCAAAGGCAAAGTGCTGTCCGAAGACGTTTCCGTGGTCATGTGGCCGGCATGACTAAACACCAAGGCGCACAGAAAGCTGTTACCTTCCCACCGAAGTGGTACCTATTTATCTACTTGCAATTTCTTGCTTTCGAACTGCTAGGTTGGCAGGAGCTGGAACTAGAGACGGGAGCTCACTCCGTCATGCGGCACCCGGGTCTCGAACTGCCAAACTACTGACCTTTCACAGTCTGCAGTTCAGCGTCTTAACCACTTGAGCCACTGCAGCTCCTAATGCCTCCTTAAATGTCTCCAAATGAAGTCATCCCATGTTCCTCCCTCATAAGACCCAGCCTCCACTTTGGTTAAAAAAAAACAACCCCACCCCAAATCTCACCGCTTGCTGCTTGTGCTGGAACTCTCTCTCACGCTCTAAACGGTATTGCTCGATTTCAGCCTGGGCTTCTTCCTTGGCCTGCTTCAGCCTCCGTGCCTTCCCTGGGATGTGGGGGGTGGAGGGCAGACAGAAAAGGGGGGGGGAGAAAAAGATCCCCTATCAATTCCCTCCTATTGCATCCCCAACCAAGCTCCTCTTCCCCTCTGTTGCAGCCTAAATGACTCCACAGTTCTATTCCAGAGGAGTTCTGGCTCTCAGGCCTTCTCTCCCACCCCCATGAGAATCTGACAGAACAGAGGTGACTTGGCTCACGTTTCCGGGCCTCTGCCACCTTCTCTGCAGCCCTCTTCTCAGCCTGCAGCAGCTGCTGGATTCCCTGGGTCTGGCTGGCCATGGTTCTCTAGCAAGGATGCTCCGAACCAACTAAGGCTCCTGCATCCACTGAACCGGGTACCACATCCTTTCCGAGGCACCACGAGGTCCTAGTGCCCCTCTTCTTTCCTGTTCTGTCAGTATTCCACAGTATGCTTGGGGACAACTGGATTGAGCAGGATGCAAGGCTTCTTCTGTGTGTAGCAAAGATAATTTCAACGGGTGCCCACATATGGTGCCCTGCAGTTGCAAGGGGGAGAAAAGCTGCCCCCTGCCAAGATTTGCCGTTTCAGCTAACAGACCCATCATCATCTCTTGCATCTGCTTGTCTAGATCTGTATGTTTTTTAACCTGTAAATTGCCCAGAGCCCTGTGTTCTCAGGGATTGGGTGACTCAAAAATTCTAGTAATAATAATTATTATCATGATTATCATCATCATCGTCATCATTATTATCCCCTTTCATCCCCAATCCCATTTCCTTACAACACTCCAGAGGCCATCTGCAGGGCCGATTTATCCACTAGGCTCAGTAGGCACGGTGCCCAGGGCCCACGATACTTTTAGGAGCCCACAAAAATGTTTTCATTTCTTTTAAAATCAGAAGAAGAAGAAAACAAATGAACTTTTAGGATGGAAGAAAATGTTGGAAGAAGAGGCAGACTGTAACAAACCTAAAAAAATAAATCCCCAACCTGGAGGTTGGCAAGCCAAAAAAGACACACCTATCAGGTTAGTGTTTCAGGTGCAGGACACAAGCTTTTTCACATTGCACAGAAGTCTTCTTGAGGTTGGATTTTCAAGAACAAAGTGGGAGAGGCTAAAGTTGTTTGTTGGGTTTCTGAGCCAGTTTGGTGTAGTGGAGTGAGGACTCTAATCTGGGAGAACCGGGTTTGATTTCCCCACGCCACCACATGCAGCTGCTGGTGTCACCTTGGGTCAGTCACAAGTTCTTTCAGAGCTATTCTCTCAGAGCTCTCAGCCCCACCGACCTCACAGGGTGTCTGTTGTGGGGAGGGGAAGGAAAAGGAGACTGTAAGCTGCTCTGAGATTCCTTCAGTTAGTGAAGGTCAGGGTATAAATCCACTGTATCATAATGCTTCTGCACACCTCCTGTTTTTCCCCATCTTTCCTGCATTCTTTTCCCGAATCTGCTTTGCTGTGATATATTGAAATGGGTGATCTTGAAATCACAGCAAAGCCTGGGTGCCATCCAGGTGGACAGGAAAGTCTGTATCTTCCTTTTCTTAACCACATTGGTGCCCTTTTCCCTGTTCCCAACTGAGGCTTTCCCCCCTGCCGCTGGAGGGCTTTGGGGGGGGGGTTATATTGGCAATTTAGATAAAGTTATAACATTATAACAAGCTGTCACTGAATTCCCAGCTTTCTTGTAGGAAAAAAAGTCCATTTCTAGCCCCTTTTGTTGCTGAGATATAAGGGGAAAGGCATATCTCCACAATTAAAGGGTAAATTAATGTAGAACTCACAGCCACAAGATGCAGCGATGGCTGCTACGGGATTAGACAGAATCCCAGAGGATAAGCTCTACAATGCCTATTAGCCATGATTAGATGGAATCTCCATGTGCAGAGACAGTGTACCTCTTCTGAATACTGGTTGCTGGGGGGGTGGGGACAAGTGGGGAAGCCTTGGCCTCCTTGCCTTACTTGTAAGCCTCTTGGGAGCATCTGGCTGGGAAATAAAATGGCCTCGTCCAGAAGGGTTCTTCTTATGTTCTGAAACGTGAGGCCTTGTTGACAAGTAATTTTTAATTAATTTCCCTTATGAGTCACCTGTTTGTTTCTGAGCAGGGTGGACCTTGATGCAATATCACTTGCTTATCTGTTTCTCTTGGGGGTTCTGTTGTCAAGGCAACAAATTTATCTCATCAGAGGGATTCTGAAGAGAATTGGGTTACTAAGCAATGACTCAGCTGTGCCAGAGCATGGTGACACTGTGATCATCACTGATAATATAGCCCTAGCGTGGAGCCTTGGGAACAAATAATACGTTACAGTGTTTAAAGAGCAGGGACCCAACTCTTGGTCCCCTGCAGCCACACAGCAGCTGTAAAGAACGGCTTCTTAAAAACAAAACAAAACAGGAGAGCGCAAATGGGCTCTGAATTGGCATCACAGGAGAAGGAAAGGCTCCTGCCTCCCCCCCCCAAAAAAATGCAATACTGAAAATAGGATATGGCTAGCCCTGGATATAAACTGTGTAGGAAGGATGTATGGGGCTATGTACATCAAACAGGGCATTGATTGCAATACAATTTACGAGGGACAGACTTCCTCACCAAATAGATATGGGTGGAAATATCAGCCGTGGGGATGTACTAGCTATCGTTCACCTGATCAAAAATCTGAGGGTGATCTTGAAATGGAGAGAGAAGGGAGAAAGACAACCAGAGGGAATTGTTGTGTAGTAATGGGTGGCTTCAGCTAGCCTCATAGGGGACTGGGTCAGAGCTATAGTGGGGTATTTCAGGGCTCTGCCCCCTTAAATGTGTGGCATGCCCCTCCCCCCATGACATTAAAAGGGCCCTCCAGCTGATCAGCGGGAGCATGTGGTTGGCCAATCAGCTGGAGGGCCCTTGAAGTCTTGCAGCTGTCCCTCTCCCTCCCCTCCTCCAAGATTCAAAGGGCCCTCCAGCTGATCAGTGTGCCCTTTAAATCTTGCAG